CTTTAAATAACAAAATAAGAATCGTTTTTCAGTTAAAAGATTTAATATTATATAAATAAATTTAGCATTATATACAAATATATTTAATATTATACAAATAGATTAATACTTGGCCATTAAATAACTTTAGTAATAAATAAAAATATTTGACACTGCATGCATATTAATACAAACTTAAGATAAATAGTAAAATATATAAAATGTATATATATAGAACATACAACAGTACTTCACTTCAGTCTTGGTAGGTCAATGTTCAATATTAAGTTCTTGCAGAAATTTGTTCACAACAACTCTCTTCCTGGCCTCTGCTGTTCTCCCCATGATGGTTGCCTCAAGCACAAGGTATACATTTCTCATATTACTGGGATACTCCATGTTGAAGATATAATATGAAGCCATCAAAATGGCTAAAGCTTTGGAAGATTCCATGTCGTTGAATTTCAAAACAACTTTTCTTTCTGCGACAAGGTAAAATGGCGTTATATTTCCAATTTCTCCACCTCCAATTAATTGTGGAGACACAGCCTGTTGGATAACATCATCAATGGATTCATCATCCTATAAAAAAAATATATTAAATAAATTAATGCTGTATTAGTGTTTGTTTTAACTGTATTGTAAACCCTCTTGTATTAACCCTTATGGGTTAACTTGCCTATTATTAATGGGTTAACTTGCCTATCTTCCCATGTGTCTAGTGAACCGATTGAATCGCATTGCGCTCTAGTTAATTTATTATTTTACTTTGCATAACACAAGACAATTTTACTTGTCATGGGGAGAGTGCTGGCACCTAATCCCAATGTGACCTGTGAAAGTCATCAATGATGTTACTGTCGTTCCAATTGAAGTGTTCCTCAAATATTGATTCATTCATTACCTCGGGCTGACCAATTCATTTCATCAAGTTCCTCCGAGATATTCATACACTTCCTGTGAAAGAGCTAATTCCAAGTATTTGATCATTTCTGGTCACTTCCTTTCTATTTATGATTGGTTAGTTGCACAAACAACAAAGGTGATTGGTGCATATTCAACAGGAAGTTTACAATTATACTAGGAAGTGTATGAATATCTCAAGGAATTTGATCAAATGAATTGGTCAGCCCGAGGTAATGTATTGAATCAATATTTGAGGAACACTTCAATTGGAACGACAGTAATAATAGAATTTCACAATACTTACAGAACAGATCTTAAGAAGATGAACAGTTCCTTTATTCATTCTTTTCATTAGTTGTGGCAACATAATAATTGCAGCTGTATCTTCAATATCTAAAGCATAAAAAGTGAACTGATTAATATTTTAAACTTACAGAACTTGTTATCCTGAAAATGTAAAGTTCTTTATCATAAGAAAAAATCTTATACTGAGTCAGATTTTTGGACATATTACAGATCATTGTACAGTCACTCAAACATGTTGTTATCTCCTGAACAGTAGAATAATTTAAGGTGTAATACCAGATCTTTTACTTGTTTCCATGGAAATCAATTCTTGCATTTCTTCTAGAATTTTTCTTTCGCCCTTTTCCTTGGCAAGTGCCAACAACTTTGGTTTGACCACTGCTGTAAATGTTGCACTCATTTCTTTCAGAATCGTTTTATCCTCCATAACCCTGCCGAATTCTGATTTAAACTACAAAGTGAACAAAAAATAAAGAATGTTTTTAAAGCGACAGCACAATTGGCACTGGCCAATTGCAACATTCTCCTAGACAAGCAAAACATTGTTAGCCAAAGTAAAATAGAATTCTCACACACTGCTGGACACTACTGCAATAATCTAGTGCCTGAATCAATATCAGATAAAATCCGAATCTACACTTGAATAACTTACTTCTGAAATCAGATTTAGTGCAGGATACTCCTTTGTGATGTCCTCAACCGCGGTTGGTTCAGCAAGAATCTTCTCCCTCCTGAAAGGGTATGTAAGAACCATTAGCTTCTTTATCATGACAACATTCTTGTTTGTTGACTTTAACATCTCTTTCTTCATAACAGTGGCATGTTCACGGCATGTATCCATTGTCTCTCCTTCGGGTTTTGCTGGTACCC